CCTGACTGAGGTTATCATCATGCATGAAAGGGTAACATATCAAATTTGTACCAATTGTTACAATAATATTGTTCAATTGAGTTAAATGTGTTTGAAAGATCTAATAAAGGGCAGTATCTTTATAAATGTCTGTTTCAATAAGGAGGATCAACCAATTCTTAATTAAAACTTGAATTTGAAACAAGATCTGTTTTTGGTTTCCAACAGCTGAATTGAGTTAGTTAAATCAACTGAGTTAAGCGCGTGTACCACGACTTTGAATAAGCATGATCAATGGAGCACAGAAATTACGATTCACCATGGCAACAGCACCCAAAAAAAAAAACGTCTGCATGCAGAGTCTATAAGTAAATATTTTTCCTAATCATTGTTATATTATCAGTTGAAAACTGACAGAATGGTAAGTTAATAAGCAAATACTCATTTTCATGGTATCACACAGGCAAAAAAATATAAAAAGGACATGGCAACAACTAAAAATGAACTATAAAAACATATTTTAATCAGTTCAATCTTCAAGCATAAAAGGTTAATGGGTGTCTACATGACATTACAAACATTTGAAATATGAAATAAATATCATCCAGTGTCTATTTCAATGTGCAGCAGCAGCTTTTTCCATAGTGTAATGCTCTTTTCATACAATCCAACATGTAACATTTCTTAAATAAGGTAAAGAAATTAACATTTGACTTTTTCCGTTTCGATTGATCAAACTTTGGCCAAGATACAGCCTTTTAGCCAATTTTGGGTGGACCTCATTAATTTTGCGACACCATAACTTTTGAACAAAGATGAATACAAAAATTAGGGAACAGTAATGTATGCGGCCTTAGGTGGCGCCATTCCCAACTTTGGCATGGAACCTCAGAACATGCTTCCGATGAAGTGTACCAATTTCCTTTTCAATTGATCAAACTTTGGCCGAGATACTTGGAGGAGTAATATTTGAAGGAGGAGTAGCAAAAAAACGGAGAACTGACCATTTCAAAATGGCCTCTACTGTAATGGGCGGAGTCTTAATGTATAGTATTGGTTGTGATCAGCACGATGAGTGGAATCAGGTGTACTAAGTGTCATGTCTCTAAAAAGTTATAACCATTTCAATGTTGAATTTTTGAACTGGTGGTGGCGCTATAGAGTTGGGCCTAGAGGGTCAAAAATTGGTCCAATTACTATTCATTAGTTTGCCAAATTTCATCATTTTCCTACTTACGGTTCATAGGGATGCCATAGACTTCCATTTATGGAATAATAATAAGAAGAAAACCAACAGATACAATAGGTGCCTCAGCACCTTTGGTGCTTGGCCCCTAAAAAGAATAACTTTTGGTTTTTTTGTTGGAAATATATAGGGTAGATGGTTGATTGATGGTTTTGACAGCTGTTTTACAACAGGATACGACCATGTATAGGGTTTTATGACAGGTGATGCCATATATGGGGTTTTTGTGACCTTTTGGCCCTGCTTGCTTCCAGGGGTGATTATCATGTGTGTTATCTGCTTTGAGTAACTATTTGTTTTCAGGGAAAGTTTTTATTATTTAGGATAATATCCACAGAACGCTGAAACTATGAACATGAAGAGGTCTGACATGTTATATGATTTTCAGCTGGCACTGTTGCACATTGTCTGTTGGGCGAGAATGACACAAATGAGTTTAAAGAAATAAAATTGATTAGGCGATCGTTATATCTGGATAGTCACAGAATCTTTAATCTTTCTGAGCAGTTGAAATGTCACAAATAGTTTTTAATAAATGAAAAGCATTGTGCTTGAATAAAACACACAATACTATTCGTCAAGTTCAACATAAGCACAATTTGTCAAGTTCAACACATGTTTAAATTTACTTTAAAATACTTGATAAATTGTATTTCATTAATCACTATTTAATAAATTCATCAAGTTCAACACATTTTTAAATTTACTTTAAAATACTTGATAAATTGTATTTCATTTAATCACTATTTAAGAAATTAGTCAAGTTCAACACATGTTTAAATCTACTTTAAAATACTTGATAAATTGTATTTCATTTAATCACTATTTAATAAATTAAATGAAATACAATTTCTCAAGTATTTTTAAGTAAATTTAAATGTGTTGAACTTGATGAATTAGATGTTAAATGATCAACTATAAGCATTTTAAACTAATACACCACATTATACTGTATTAAACCGATAAACAAAATAGTGAATAATAGTTTATATTGTTTAAAAAATAAGATGTTAAATTATCAAGTATTTTAATCTAATACACCACAATATACGATCTTACACAGATAAATAAAACAAATTAGTGAATAATAGTTCATATTATTTTAATTAAAATGTTGAATTATCAAGTATAAAAAAAAGTAATACATCACAATATATGGGGTTATACATTTAAAGAAAACATAAAATAGTAAAAAATAGCTTGTAATAAAATTTTAAATAAGAAAATGTACCGTACACAGTCAAAAGGGAGTAATAGTTGATATTATACAAAAAAAGCTGTTAAATTATCAAGTATTTTAATCTAATACACATCAAAATAGTTTTACACCGTTAAATACAACATAAAATAGTGAACAATAGTTGATATTGTTGAATGTGAAGTTTAGCAGCAAAGTGGAAATATTTGCATCTAACATTTACAGATGGAGAATATACCTGTGAAATATAAGTTTTGCATTCAGTAAAACATGCCTCAAACATATAGGCTAAAACAGCACAGCTACTTGCTGGGATGGATCGATTTAATCAATAATGACGTCTAGGGCTCCTTAAGAAACGCGTCCACACGCAATTATCCAAACTAGATAAACCTGGATCAAATTAGTGGGATTGCATGAACTGAAATGAACTTTTATGTAACCACTTTAACCCCAATTCATTTGTTAGGTTCATTCAAGTCAGGTGTTGGAGATTAATGCCTGTTTTTTAGCGTCTTTTATAAGACAGGTCTAAGGTGATGGTAATCTGAAAAGTCTTAGCTTGAGATTTGATTTAGAAAGTTATGGTGATTTTTTAATCTGTAATCAAGATGGCAGTTTGTAACTTTATGTTATTAGTATTTATGGGTTATCAACTGGTGCTCAATGGTAAAGTTTTTTTTTCACCTTAGTGCAGTGTTTCAAAAGTTAAATGCATATGTAACAATATTATATTTTTTTTAACCTTGCAACTTGTTTTCAGGTTTTGCTTCTCCATATGGGCGTCATTTCTACCAGACTGGTATTAAGCAATCATGTGGGTAATTCTGATGTGGTTGTTAACATTATGCCCTTTTGTTTGCACAAATGTTTACTTAAGGTTGAGGCCTGATGACTTCTAGTATTAAACTTCATGATGCCTCTTGTTTTCCAGGTGGCTCCTGGTCTTTTCCTTGTGGGATCAAACGAATTCCAACATGGCCGGTGATGAAGTCTAATATGGCAGTTGTGTGCCCTTTGCAGAAAGCATCTAAGCTAACTGTCCAAAAAGGTGAGTTGTGCTGAGGCTATGAGGTTGACCTAGACCATTTTTAGCTGATTCCAACCTTATTTTTCAAACTACTTTTTTATTTTCAAAAAATAAAAAATAAAAAAATACAATCAGTAAATTATATATGTATAAAACCCTGTATACTTTACTCAACCTAAACCATAAAAACAAGTTTAAATGGGTAAAATTTTCTTTTATGACATTGTTCTTGTTTCCTATATATATATATATATTTTTTTTTATCAAATGTGCTTTCACTTTAATTGAGAGGGAGCAGAGCAGGAAAAATCACGTGCTGCTCCAGATGTGAACGCACTCATTGATTAACATGCAAGCCGAAAAATGTGGCGCTCTGTGCTTGAAGTGTAAATAAGGGGTGAAGCGGCTGTAATTCACAAGGTTTCCTAAATGTGCATTTCATGTGCACATGTGATGCTGATGTTGTGTGATGTTAGTCATGCTCTGCCTGAGTACATTTGACCGCCATATGTCAAACTGATCGGTCGATCTCGTGAAAATCGTCCGGTTCCGGTCAGGTGGTGGTCAATCAGTGCATCTCTAACTACAGCTCTTTATTTTTGCCCCAATTTTTTGTAGGCGTTGATGGGAAGGTGCAGCAATTCAGATCTCTCCCTGCCAAGGTTGAGGGGAAGTTGATGGAATCCAGGCCTGTCCCAGCTAAAAAGTCCAGCAATGTCCCAGCTGTGGTTGATTGGAAGTTGACCAAGTCCCGCCATGTCCCAGCTAAAGAATCCAGCCATCTCCCAGCTGAGGTTGATAGGAAGTTGACCAAGTCCAGTCCTGTCCCAGCTGAGGTTGATTGGAAGTTGACCAAGTCCCGCCATGTCCCAGCTGTGGTTGATTGGAAGTTGACCAAGTCCTGCCATGTCCCAGCTAAAGAATCCAGCCATCTCCCAGCCGAGGTTGATAGGAAGTTGACCAAGTCCAGTCCTGTCCCAGCTGAGGTTGATTGGAAGTTGAACAAGTGCAGCCGTGTCCCAGCTGAGGTTGATTGGAAGTTGACCAAGTCCCGCCATGTCCCAGCTGTGGTTGATTGGAAGTTGACCAAGTCCCGCCATGTCCCAGCTAAAGAATCCAGCCATCTCCCAGCTGAGGTTGATAGGAAGTTGACCAAGTCCAGTCCTGTCCCAGCTGAGGTTGATTGGAAGTTGACCAAGTCCAGCCGTGTCCCAGCTGTGGTTGATGGGAAGTTGACCAGGCCCAGCCCTGTCCCAGCTAAAGAGTCCAGCCCTGTCCCAGCTGTGGTGGATGGGAAGTTGACCAGGCCCAGCCCTGTCCCAGCTAAAGAGTCCAGCCCTGTCCCAGCTGTGGTTGATGGGAAGTTGACAAAGTCCAGCCATCTCCCAGCTAAAGAATCCAGCCTTCGCCCAGCTGAGGCTGATGGGAAGTTGAATGAGTCCAGCCCTCTCCCAGCTAAAGAATCCAGCCCTGTCCCATCTGAGGCTAATGGGAAGTTGACGGAGTCCAGCCCTCTCCCAGCTAAAGAATCCAGCCCTGTCCAAGCTGAGGTTGATGGGAAGTTGACAGACTCCAGCCATGTCCCAGCTAAAGAATCCAGCCTTCTCTCAGCTGAGGTTGATGGGAAGTTGTCCGAGTCCAGCCCTGTCCCAACTAAAGAGTCCAGCCCTGTCCCAGCTGAGGTTGATGGGAAGTCGTCCGAGTCCAGCCCTGTCCCAGCTAAAGAATCCAGCCCTGTCCCAGCTGAGGTTGATGGGAAGTTGACCGAGTCCAGCCATGTCCCAGCTAAAGAATCCAGCCCTGTCCCAACTGAGGTTGATGGGAAGTTGTCCGAGTCCAGCCCTGTCCCAGCTGAGGTTGATGTGAAGTTGACTGAGTCCAGCCATGTCCCAGCTAAAGAATCCAGCCTTCTCTCAGCTGAGGTTGATGGGAACTTGACTGAGTCCAGCCATGTCCCAGCTAAAGAATCCAGCCCTGTCCCAGCTGAGGTTGATGGGAAGTTGACCGAGTCCAGCCATGTCCCAGCTAAAGAATCCAGCCCTGTCCCAACTGAGGTTGATGGGAAGTTGTCCGAGTCTAGCCCTGTCCCAGCTGAGGTTGATGGGAACTTGACTGAGTCCAGCCATGTCCCAGCTAAAGAGTCCAGCCCTGTCCCAGCTGAGGTTGATGGGAAGTTGACCGAGTCCAGCCATGTCCCAGCTAAAGAATCCAGCCTTCTCTCAGCTGAGGTTGATAGGAAGTTGTCCGAGTCCAGCCCTGTCCCAGCTGAGGTTGATGGGAAGTTGACAGACTCCAGCCCTGTCCCAGCTAAAGAGTCCAGCCCTGTCCCAGCTGAGGTTGATGGGAAGTTGACCGAGTCCAGCCATGTCCCAGCTAAAGAATCCAGCCCTGTCCCAGCTGAGGTTGATGGGAAGTTGACCGAGTCCAGCCATGTCCCAGCTAAAGAATCCAGCCCTGTCCCAACTGACGTTGACGGGAAGTTGTCCGAGTCTAGCCCTGTCCCAGCTGAGGTTGATGGGAACTTGACTGAGTCCAGCCATGTCCCAGCTAAAGAGTCCAGCCCTGTCCCAGCTGAGGTTGATGGGAAGTTGACCGAGTCCAGCCATGTCCCAGCTAAAGAATCCAGCCTTCTCTCAGCTGAGGTTGATGGGAAGTTGTCCGAGTCCAGCCCTGTCCCAGCTGAGGTTGATGGGAAGTTGACAGACTCCAGCCCTGTCCCAGCTAAAGAGTCCAGTCATGTGTCTTCTGAGGTTGATGGGAAGTTGTCCAGCCCTGTCCCAGCTAAAGAATCCAGCCCTGTCTTAGCTGAGGTTGATGGGAAGTTTTCTGAGTCCAGCCCTGTCCCAGCTAAAGAATCCAGCCCTGTCCCAACTGAGGTTGATGGGATGTTGCCCGATGCCAGCCCTGTCCCAACTGAGGTTGATGGGATGTTGCCCGATGCCAGCCCTGTCCCAGCGAAGGAGTCCAGTCATGTCCCAACTGAGGTTGATGTGAAGTTGGCCGAGTCCAGCCATGTCCCAGCTAAAGAATCCAGCCCTGTCCCAACTGAGGTTGATGGGAAGTTGGCCGAGTCCAGCAATGTCCCAGCTAAAGAATCCAGCCTTCTCTCAGCTGAAGTTGATGTGAAGTTAGAGTCCAGCCCTGTCCCAGCTGAGGTAGATGGGAAGTTGTCCGAGTCCAGCCCCGTCCCAGCTAAAGAGTCCAGCCATGTCCCAGCTGAGGTTGATGGGAAGTTGACCGAGTCCACCCCTGTCCCAGCTAAAGAGCCCAGCCCTGTCCCAGCTGAGGTTGATGGGAAGTTGACCGAGTCCAGCCCTGTCCCAGCTGAGGTTGATGGGAAGTTGGCCGAGTCCAGCCATGTCCCAGCTAAAGAGTCCAGTCATGCGTCTTCTGAGGTTGATGGGAAGTTGGCCGAGTCCAGCCATGTCCCAGCTAAAGAATCCAGCCTTCTCTCAGCTGAGGTTGATGGGAAGTTGTCCGAGTCCAGCCTTGTCCCAGCTAAAGAGGCTGATGGGAAGTTGTCCGAGTCCAGCCTTGTCCCAGCTAAAGAGTCCAGCCCTGTCCCAGCTGAAGTTGATGGGAAGTTGACTAAGTCCAGCCCTGTCCCAGCTAAAGAATCCAGCCCTTTCCCTGCTGAGGTTGATGGGAAGTTGTCCGAGTCCAGCCCTGCCCCAGCCAAAGAGGCTGATGGGAAGTTGACCGAGTCCAGCCCTGTCCCAGCTAAAGAATCGAGCCTTCTCTCAGCTGAGGTTGATGGGAAGTTGCCTGATTCCAGCCCTGTCCCAGCTGAGGTTGATGGGAAGTTGGCCGAGTCCAGCCCTGCCCCAGCTAAAGAGGCTGATGGGAAGTTGACCGAGTCCAGCCCTGTCCCAGCTGAAGTTGATGGGAAGTTGCCCGATTCCAGCCCTGTCCCAGCTAAAGAGGCTGATGGGAAGTTGTCCGAGTCCAGCCCTGTCCCAGCTAAAGAGGCTGATGGGAAGTTGTCCGAGTCCAGCCCTGTCCCAGCTGAGGTTGATGGGAAGTTGACAGACTCCAGCCCTGTCCCAGCTAAAGAATTCAGCCTTCTCTCAGCTGAGGTTGATGGGAAGTTGCCCGATTCCAGCCCTGTCCCAGCTAAAGAGTCCAGTCATGTGTCTTCTGAGGTTGATGGGAAGTTGACAGACTCCAGCCATGCCCCAGCTAAAGAATCCAGCCCTGTCCCAGCTGAGGTTGATGGGAAGTTGTCTGAGTCCAGCCCTGTCCCAGCTAAAGAATCCAGCCCTGTCCCAGCTGAGGCTGATGGGAAGTTGTCCGAGTCCAGCCCTGTCCCAGCTGAGGTTGATGGGAAGTTGTCTGAGTCCAGCCCTGTCCCAGCTAAAGAATCCAGCCCTGTCCCAGCTGAGGCTGATGGGAAGTTGTCCGAGTCCAGCCCTGTCCCAGCTGAGGTTGAGGGGAAGTTGATCGCATCCAGCTCTCTCCTAACTAAAGAGTCCAGCCCTGTCCCAGCTGAGGTTGATGGGAAGTTGTCCGATTCCAGCCCTGTCCCAGCTAAAGAGTCCAGTCATGTGTCTTCTGAGGTTGATGGGAAGTTGTCAGAATCCAGCCATGTCCCAGCTAACGAATCCAGCCATGTCCCAGCTAACGAATCCAGCCTTCTCCCAGCTAATGAATCCAGCCTTCTCCCAGTTGAGGCTGATGGGAAGTTGACTGATTCCAGCCATGTCTCAGCTAAAGAATCCAGCCCTGTCCCAGCTGAGGCTGATGGGAAGTTGTCCGAGTCCAGCCCTGTCCCAGCTGAGGTTGATGGGAAGTTGTCTGAGTCCAGCCCTGTCCCAGCTAAAGAATCCAGCCCTGTCCCAGCTGAGGTTGATGGGAAGTTGTCCGATTCCAGCCCTGTCCCAGCTAAAGAGTCCAGTCATGTGTCTTCTGAGGTTGATGGGAAGTTGTCAGAGTCCAGCCCTGTCCCAGCTAACGAATCCAGCCATGTCCCAGCTAACGAATCCAGCCTTCTCCCAGTTGAGGCTGATGGGAAGTTGACTGATTCCAGCCATGTCTCAGCTAAAGAATCCAGCCCTGTCCCAGCTGAGGTTGATGGGAAGTTGTCCGAGTCCAGCCATGTCCCAGCTAAAGAGTCCAGCCCTGTCCCGGCTGAAGTTGATGAGAAGTTGCCCGATTCCCAGCAGCCCTGTCCCAGCTAAAGAGTCCAGTCAGTGTCTTCTGAGGTTGATGGGAAGTTGGCCGAGTCCAGCCATGTCAGAGATCCAGCCATGTCCTAACGAATCCAGCCATGTCCCAGCTAACGAATCCAGCCTTCTCCCAGCTAATGAATCCAGCCTTCTCCCAGTTGAGGCTGATGGGAAGTTGACTGATTCCAGCCATGTCTCAGCTAAAGAATCCAGCCCTGTCCCAGCTGAAGTTGATGGGAATTTGACTGATTCCAGCCATGTCTCAGCTAAAGAATCCAGCCCTGTCCCAGCTGAAGTTGATGGGAATTTGACTGATTCCAGCCATGTCTCAGCTAAAGAATCCAGCCCTGTCCCAGCTGAAGTTGATGGGAAGTTGACCGAGTCCAGCCATGTCTCAGCTAAAGAATGCATCTATGTCCCCTCTGAAGTTGATGGGAAGTTGACCGAGTCCAGCTCTGTCCCAGCTGAGGTTGATGGGAAGTTGACCGAGTCCAGCCATGTCCCAGCTAAAGACTCCAGATTTGTCCCTGCTGAGGTTTGTGGCAAGTTTTTGGAGTCCATTCCTGTCCCAGCAGAGGTGGATGGGAAGTTGACCAAGTCCATCCCTGTCTCAGCTAAAGAGTGCAGCCATGTCCCCGCTGAGGTTGATGGGGAGATGACTGTGTGCATATGCTCTAAAGTCTCAAACAGATCTAGTCAATATCTAAATATGCCACTTTCTGATCTTGTTTTTAGTCAATAAAACGTTATTTCTCAGTGCTGCTTCTTTTATCAGTCTGCTTTAGAACATGTTATGGAAATTGTGTTAAACAGTTCCAATAAAGTGATTCATGCCTCTTAAATGACCAAGTTTAATTTTTGTATTCCTTATTCTCTATTCTAAGGGTGAATTTCCATGACTTTTCTTTTTAATAATTGACAATATTAGTGATGCTCATTTCTTGAGAAACTGTTTATTTCACCTAAAAGGTTGAGAGTGTGAGTTAACACTAGTGATGGGAAGTCTGGTTTCCGCAAACCTGTTCAAATAAACGCTTCACCAGTTCTTTTACGTTCTCACGTAATGATGCCAATTCTATAATGCCATTGGATACAAAATGCTTTAAATTAAAGGCATTTGTAATCATAACTTCAGTTAAATAATAGTGCTCATTGTCATAATTATCTTGTATAAGTTTCTTTTATGTTTTGCAAACGAACCCTGTAGCCTTCAGGTGATGTGCAAACGTTGATGTTTAAACTACCTTAAAGATATAGTGTGTAAATGGTCTTCATCATTTTGTTTATTAAATAAACTTGCAGTACATTTCACTGAATTCTGTGGGCTCATGTATGACCTCATCATCAGTTGGCTGAAAAAGAAAGTTCTGTTTAGATACTGCTATCACACATCTGCAGTAGCTCCCGCTCATCGGTACTCTGTGTCGAATGTTTCCGAAACAGTTCTTGGTTCTGTACTGGTGGTTCAAGAACTGCAACAACCAGTTCTTGACTCGAGAACTGTAGCATAGGCCTGTGTGCTGAGTGCATAGCTGTCAACATTGAAAATTTTTCTCTGTCGCTTTAGTGCATTTCTCACATCAATATTTACATACAACAGACATATACTGTAAATCATTCATGGACATCTCTTCTCATCAGTGAAAACTGAGGTTCAGCTGTGAGAAATTGTTCAATTTAGGATAAAAAAGTTTTTTTTTTTAAGATAAAAAAATTGCTTGACAGATTTTGACCCACTAGTTCAACATTTTTGTATGGATGACTCAAGCAATGAAATGAGGACTATTAGTTTTATATGGAATGACTATTCAGCATTCACAAGTATAGTTAATTTGGACTGATATGACATAAGCATACGATAATGCTATAAAACAGCAGAGAGTTGTATGAAAGAAATTGATGCATGTCCAAAAGCATTTGCAATTTGTTGGAAGGAATGAGAAACTGCTACTATGATGTGCAAAAATGACTAAATGTTGTGGAGGTTGAACTAACTGTTGAGCAAATGTAAATAGTGATGTGAGAAATGCACCAAAGCGACTGAGAAAAACTGTAAAAATAAAGCACTAACCATAAAAGTCTTAAGAGTTTATAATTAGCATACATAGAGAGAAAGAGACAGGGTGTCATTTAAAAAAATATCATAGAGAATGTTTAAATACTCTAATATCAGCTTACGAGGGAAACCGACGGGCTTTGGGGAAACGGAGGGGGAGTTAGTGGTGCTTAGTGGTAAAGCCTTTATACTCGACGCGTCCGCATAGCGCTGCAAAAATGACGTGTTGGGTGCACAAGACCGGCAAGACCTCATTTCGCATGGCTGTGTAGGTTCCCGTTTTTATTGTGACAGCGCGCGCAGAGCCGCATTCGAGGATGAACGACTTCAAGCCGAATCTGTCCGAGCTTATATGTCTCACACAGTCAGAGCTAAAAATATGGGATATTTTACGGGAAAATACTAAAACAGCAAGACAGCTGGAAATTAGCTAAAATACGTGAGAAACCCGGAAAAAACGAGAGGGTTGACAGCTATGGCTGAACAAAACAGCATGTTTAATATGTTATGTTTCAACGCGTTATAAACATTTAATAAGCAGTGCACTATTCAAAGCTTGGCAAGAGTTTACATCAAAGATTTACATGAAATTACTTAGAAATTAAATGAGCTATTCGATTTATGACTGTCACTGACGTTACAACGCTACCCCTTGTATAATGTCAAGTGGGTAAACAGTTTCCGTTATAAATTGTTTCAATGGTGGCAGTAAAATTTCAATTTTGAAGAGAAAACATTGTGAATACCCCGGGTCGACTGCCCATGTCTGGTGCCGTACGGTTTACACAGATTTCCTGGGCGAGTACAAAACGCAGACGTTCGCGTATAACAGGGGTTCTCAACTCCAGTCCTCGCGACCCACTGCTCTGCATATTGTGTATAGCCGTTTCTCAATACCAAGCTTTAGGCACGCTTTAGGCAACAATAAAACGAAATTTGCTACAACTCTGCATCTTTTCGTCAACAATAAAACGAAATATGTTATAAAACGTTATGTTATAAATATATGTTATAAAATGTTATAAAAATATGTTATAACAAAAAAAACAACATCGCCTATTAGCCTGGCCATGTGGTTCAGACAACGCGATTCTCTTCACTGCATATATTTATAACAAAATGAACATGATCTTTTTGTTTTCATTTAAAAAATATGAAACATTGATTTTTATTGACATTTATCAAACAGAAACAGGGTTATGTCATTTTATTTTATTGTTCATATAGTGAAGATAATATATAAAAAAGTTTATTTTTTATAAATAAACTATAGTTTATAGTTAGAAGATATAGTTATAGAAGATAGTTCATCTTTATAAATAACTATTTGAGATTTAAACAACCACATTCTTGCCTGAAACACTCATAAAATTACATTTCATGACTCAATAATAGTAGTATTTTAATATTGCGCGGATTTTCTCCTCTCCTATTGACACTTGCTGGTTGGTGCGAGGTGCATTCTGGGTTACCTGGCTATCTCAAGTCCACACAAGTCACCGATGCATCCTCGGTAAACGGGGCGGATCAAGAACACATCCGGGGATTTGAAGTGGACTTGGCTACACTGTAATGAATTGCTGTAAAAATTACAGCAATATTTTACAGCCGCTGGCTGTTTTCTAATAATACAGCATTTTGCTGTAAAATGCAATGCATTCTGGGGCCGCGTGGCGGGTTTGATTCAAAATACAGAATATTGCTGTAAATTTTAAATCGACATCGGTCGTGTCGTCGACTTTCGGATAGCGGCAAGAGGAGTGATTCTCAACTGGTAAGTGACTTATTTCAGTTTCTTATGTTGTGTTACTCGTAGACTATGAAGGTAATGTTATATTCGCGGTTCATATTGGTTACCGAGGATCACGCATCCTCCGTACGGGGCGCGTGGGAGACTTGCGCGGGGCTTCAGCAGCCCAGACGCGGGTAGTATTTCACACATTCCCCGGGATCTATGGGCTCCTATGTTAAGAAGAATTATATGCTTTTCTGACAACAGTCGGTATTCACACGAGCTTCGTGTTGATCAGCACACTTCGCCGTGATTATTTTATGGTGTAAATCATAGGCGGAGTTTAGGGGGGGCTAGGGGGGGCACTGCCCCCCCCAGACCAGAGCCAATTAATGTCTGCCTTGTGCTTTGAAAAATAAATAAAAATTGCTGAATTCATATTTTCTCATTTTATTTGTCTTATCTTATCGCTTTTGCGGGTATAATGAGTAAGTTAAGGCTAAATAATTTTTTATTTATATAATATTAATTACTGTATTGAAAAAGAAGCTAATTTTCTCACGACTGGCGGATCTCAAAATATCGCGGTAAGTGAGTGTACTCTCGTTCTGTTCCCGCTGAGTGGACTCTCGTTCTGTTCCCGCTTTAGTCAGATAAATAAAGTAAATGGACATTCGTCGTTTTTTTAATAAGCGCACTAGTGTGGAGTTTTCTAACTCTGACACTTCTGCTATCAATTCCATTCCTGCTACTGACATAGCAATCGAGACCGCATCTGAGAACAAAGCCAGCAGCACCGCTACCGTGTCAGCGGAGATACCGTTAACAACAACACCCGCGCAACCTGCCGCATCTGGATCTGGATCCGTTGACCTCGGTGAAAAAGCTATTGGGCCGAAACAGCCCATACTTTCTTCTTTCCCTAAGCGCCTAATTGGAAATGTTAATCGTGCCTTCTCTACATTTTACTATCACAAGTTCCCATGGATGGAGTACTCAATTTCACTGGATTCCGTTTTTTGTTTTTGCTGTCGCCACTTTTCTTCAAACATTGCAAGATCAGGCGCAGACGAACTATTTACAAAAGTCGGAGCTCGGAACTGGAAAAAACTGTCAGAGAAGCTGACGAAACACGCTTCGTCACAGGTACATTTAAACAGCATGACGATGTGGGAGAGCTATAAACAGGCTGGTGAATCGGGATCTGTGGCTGCACAGCTGTCACACAGCCATCAAAGCACAGTAGAAAAAAACAGACAGTACCTCTACAAATCCGTTAATATTATAAAATTGATTGCTAAATTAGGCCTCCCTTTCCGCGGACATCGTGAAGATACGGATGCAGAAGCAAGGGGGAATTATTTAAGTATTTGTGATTTGTTTTCAAAATACGACCCTGATTTCGAATCCATGCAGTCCAAATGTTTTAACTGTACAAGCCGAGACTTTCAGAATGAAATAATTGCATTGTGTGCAGACCTCATTCGTGAAGAAATTTCCAAAAAAGTACACGAGACTGGTTTTCTTGCTGTTATTGCTGATGAAGCAAAGTCATCAAAGACTGAGCAACTTTCTGTTTGCATTAGATACTCAGAGGGACTTCAGATCAAGGAGCGATTTATTTGCTTTGTTGACTGTTCGAATTCTCGTGATGCTGCAGGGATTGTTTCTGGCATTAAAGAAGGATTGCAGTCGTGTGGGCTGAAGGACATTCCCATAATTGCGCAAGCATATGATGGAGCCGCTGTAATGTCGGGGCATTTGAGTGGAGTTCAGCAACGGATAAGAGAGGAATTCCCCTTTGCTGTGTATGTGCATTGTATGGCACATAAACTAAATCTCGTACTTGTTGAATCATGCACAGTGAACAGAGACATTAAAACGTGTCTAAATGTCATTGACAAACTATACTCCTTGTTTGCAGAGCCAAGCAACCATTGCAGATTTCTCATGATGCAGAAAACACTG